CTGAGAAGCAGATTGGGCTGCTTTCTCTTCTCTCGCTAAACATCTCTTAGTCGACAATCCCCTTCCTCTGTTTCCGCATTGCTTCACTATCTAATTGTGGCTTCTTCGTCGAAGGCTTTTTAGCGGGAGTAAGGTGGCTTCCAGATACTATAAAGAACAACCATCTCGCTCCTCGATTCCCACTCCTCATTCTTCTCGCTCCAGCAGCATTTGGGATCGCAACCGATATATATAGAACTACAACGCAGGTATATATCCCCATAAAAACTGTGCTACCATTTACCCCAGCTGACCCTCTCCCTCTCATACGGAAAGCAGGAATTAAAAGACCGGGAGAAAAAAAACATGGCTCGACACAGCATTGGGCCATGGGTGCTATGCCGAGCATACCTCTTGGTAAACATACTCCTACCATCCATTCAAGACAATAAGGGCTTGCTGTCCGCCTTGGCCGAAACAACCGACAACCTCCCCTTTAACAACACCAACGAAATCTGTGATCCATCGGGTGAGACCACCTCCACGATCACCATCACGCCAGCCGATACATCTTCCGGTCAGAACTTTGCTCCGCCAGAAAACGGTCCCTTGCTTTACAGAAGGGAAGAGCTAGACCCCGTCTATCACAACATCTCTGGCTTCGCCATCGAAAATGTCGAAATCTGCAAATCCCGTCCCTTCGCCCTCACCCAGGAGAACTACCTCCGCAGCGGGGCCGATGAGTGGCTCCGGGAGTATACTATGGATAATCAGAACCGCAATTACATGCAGAAGCACGGTGTCATTTCCACTATCGCATATGATTTCCTCGGTAACACAAATTTCAAGTGTGCCATCGGATTCCAGCATCTGTGCAATGTGGAATGCTTGACTGTCGTGACGCATGTTGAGGACTTGAGGCTGGCGAGGCAGGTTTACTTTGTGCTGGCTTCCGCTTCACACTATGTCTCTGCATTGACCGTCGTTCATGTGTGTCCCACCCCTCCCGTTGATTGATTGGTGTTTGGTGACTGAGTGAGGTTGAAACTGACATCTATTGGCTAAATGTAGGACGCTTTGGTTTCGGCACAATCCACCGCCGGTCTTCTGTCAGGAAAAATGGCAACGACTTTCTTCTTCACCGGGCCAGACGCCGACGAAGCATTGCGAGCCCGAACCTACAAAGTGTTGATGGAAGGCACATTATGGGCAGCGCAAACAGCTATGAACTCAATCCTCCCAATGATCCCATGGTCCAAACTCAATGAACTTGTGTCGGACAAGTTAGAAGCTCTGAAGAAAAAGGCACACATTGATCTGGAGGAGTATGAATCTGGCACTTACGCTCCCTTCGATGTCACTAGATACTACGGTGATAGGAGCGGCTCCACACTGTACTCTGCCGCCAACGCTAAGACGGTTTCTGAGATTTTCAAGGACGAAGACCTGGGAGAAATCTTCGTGCACGAGGGGATCCGTCAGGAGGACGTTTTATACTATATTGACAACTCCAAGCCGGTTACGGGTCCCCACCTTTGGCAGGTTGTACAGCATCTTGCCGAGACATCGCACGACAGGGTGAATCCAGAGCACCGAGCCGACAACCCCGAGCAGGAGGCCGAACAAAAAAACGGCAAGAATGGCAGGCTTTCCCGACTGCACCGTCATTCGGAGGATATGAAAGAATACAGAAAGTGGGAAAGGAAGAAGAAGAATCAGCTATTCGATGAAATGATGGGTGTTGAACCGCTCAGGATTGGTGTTCCCGATTTTTATCGTTTCAAGCTCGAAGAGTTGCAGGCTCAGTTTCAGAACCCTGGGAGTGGTGAGCACTCCCGGACATTTGGTCCTGGACAGAAGGTCATGAGTAAGTCTTCAACCTTTCTTTTCCGTTCCAGCGGAGCAGAACCTCCCTCTAAATATCTTGCTAATATGAAATCTGCAGATAAAGCGGCAGCAATCTTCGAGGTCGCCAAACACTCGCCTCCCGGGGCACGAACCGCCACTACTTGGGGGGACACAGTCAGGGTTGCGTGGGGCTCTTTCAAAAGCATGTGTTCCAGCTCATGGAATAAGGTTAAGAATACTATGAGGCGGATTGGCTATCAACCCCGGCCCTACATGGTCAGCTCCGTCCGTGAAACTGGTCTTGATGGTAGGCAATCAGAGCTAATTATTAACGGTATTCAGGGCATAATTGAGGAGAATCCCAATCGCTTGATCAGCGAATTCGATGATGAAGGCAACCCGATCGTGCCGGCAACACCAGGTATCCCCATACGCAGGCAAAGCTACGAAGAATACTTGCATCAGAAGGATGCTAAGAAGAGAGAAGAGGGGAAAAAGCGGGGGAAAGGGGAAAAGGGGAAACAAGTGCAGAAGGACGGAGATCAAGAAGAGCAGAATTCCGAGCCTAGGATCAAATCCCTAGGCCCAGTCCACAAAGTCCCCTACTACAGAGACCGTGGCACCGCGTTCAATGACTTTAAGATGGACATAACGGCTCTCCTCCACCCCGTTCTCAACACAGACTTTACCCCCGAAAAGGAGAGAAGGAGGAGATTGAGCTGGCAGGAGAAAGCCACGAGGGCGGAGCAGATGCTGCGCAGCTTCTACCCGTCCTTACAAACCGCTGCCGTCGATGCCGCGGTCAAAATGATGTTTTCGTCATGGGAGGCGAATGACCCCAGCAAGGAACATAATGAAATGAACTTGCAGTACGTGATTCAGGAGTCATCAGGGCTCGCCCGCAAGGGGTTAAAGGAGACGGCTAATAGGGTCTTTGATGCACCGGATCCTGGGTCAGATGGTATATCTAGTCATTTGGTATCACTCGGTAATGATGCTGATTTTAATAGGTGATAGTGATATTGCCGACTTGATGGCTGCGGGGAGTTTACTTCCTGTAAGCGACGGATCGATGTCAATGTGGACCAGCGCCGAAGTTGAAAAGCGAGTTCACGCACTCCCTCCCTCTTATGTGCCTTTCAGTCCACTAACAAGCCAATAGGGTGATAACCAAGGCTGTCATCTCTAGAGCCATAAACGCAGCCCTCAGGTCCCAGAAGATCTACGTGTCATGCACCCAGGACCTGCTCCACTTCGAAAGCAAGAACTCCCCGGGAATCCAAGTTCAGGATTGCGAACTGGACAACTCGGGCCCTCAAAATCTAAAAGCCTGCATCGGGGGGGCGGTCTGCTACATCTACCGCTGGAACGACCGCCCGCTGATCATGGGGCACCACAACGAGGAACCCTTCGGCCTCGACCGGATAGCGCAGACCCCCTGGAATATCGACGTGCAAGACATCATAGTTTCTTCCTTCCTCTCCAAGATCAATAATAAGGGAAGCTCCCAGCTCGGCGACGACAACGCGAGCTTTGTCAACTCCGGTCCGAACGCAGATACCGCCATCAACACCTCCGCGGCAGGTGTCTTCACGATACCTGTATGCCTCGCTCCAAAAAACTGGAACACCCAGACAAAAGACTACTGGATAGGAAATGACGTCGACCCGTACGCCCCCGTCAAGGCGCTCCCCTGCTACTGCGGCGACCTGGGTGAGGACACCGGCAAAATCTGGCACGATACTGGGCTCATGTACTCGGGGGCACAGCGCACCTACACGCACACGAACTGCCCGAATCAATTCAAGAAACGCCTACCGGACTGGTTGGAGCGCTACGTGGCAATGTGCAGCTTGAGCATCCACAAGGCCAAAATCGGCGGTAAAATCAAGACGGGCAAGCACCGTCTCTGCGACATCGTCGAGCGCGAACTGAAAGGGGCGGGCATCCAAACAGTCACTCAATTGGACAAGGAAGTACGCTACGCCCTCAAGTGCAAGATCAAGCGCAAGAAGAGCAAGGGGTGCGAGAAGTACTACCGTACCCCAATCTCCTCGGTTTGGGCCGAAACGCAGCCTGTCATCCTCGAGCGCGTTGAGGAGGAACTCCGCCAGAAGGGCCAGTCCACCGTGCCCGTCGTGGATGGCTTCACTCAGGAAGAACTGCGCAAGTGGGAGTGGGGGCTCATGGAGATTGAAGGGATGAGGGGAGAATTCAGGGAGATGGATAGGATTCAGAGCGAGTATCATATCGATATACAGACTCTGCCGGGCAATGTTCCTGCTTCTGTCATTGAGAGTCACTTGAAGGATTTCTACGACCAGGTGGATGAGGGTGAAGCCTTTGGCGACGAGGGGGTTGGCCGGGATGAGGATATTGAGTGGGGTGAGGGCGAGGAGTGGAACGGTGAGCCCGAGACTTGGGATGAGTATGAGTATTTTTAGGTATGGTGGGGGGCATTTCGCTTGATAAACTGATTGGTCGGGTGAGTGAAGAAGATTGGTGGCTGTGGTTACAGTGGGGTTCTGGAGTCTGGGTCTGGAACGCTCGGCATACAGGCGCCCAAGTGTGGTGGATCCCAGATTTGAATTTGGCAAGAATAGGATTTTGCGATCTGCTATTCCCCCCTCTTTGGCTTATTCGCCCATTCTTGTATATGCTTTTGGTATGATTGTTTTTTTTTCTTTTTTTATATGTCACTTCCTCTTTCTAGTTTATTGGTATGGTGGTATGATATATAACTTAGCGCCTTTTTGACAAAAGTCTATTCTTTGGTGGAGGGCGGGCTCGATGATGGTAACTATGATACGATCCGACGAGACAGCCGCTCGAGTCAGGATAGGGAAGTCGACCGCGGTGGCATGTATCCTTCACTGTACTGTATTGTATTGTATGCAACCTACCCTGAAACTTGTAAAATAGAATGGCTTCTTCACTATGATAAGCACAACGTACAATGCGAAAGCGCCGTTCGTGCTAGAGTGCCGCGCTATGCAGAATACCCCTCCACAGTTGTGAAGGTCTAGTGGACGAACACCAACATCAGTGGACGAACACCAGCATCAACAGCGAATTCTGCAATATGATCTGTCATCGATATCCTAACGGTGTCGTATCGCCTCACGCAACTGCCCTTCCGGGTATGATATTGTAGTGCTCAAAACCCCCAGTCTATGCCGACCCCAACGTGACATATTTATTCCAATCTCTATGATAGAGTACCGTAATTCAGCACTCCCAAGTTTAAAAAGAAAAATAAAATAAAAGAAAGAGCACACTCCAACACCACCGCTCTCATCACCCTCAATTGAACCAAAATCGAATCAGGGAAAAGGGAAAGAAAGAAAAAAACAGCAACACTTTCCACACCTTTTTTTTCGAAACACGAGTGATATATCATGACAGCATTACAAACGAGTACCTGCCACCTACGTACCGTACCATACCGTATGATACTAATCCACATCGCAAACAACCCGAGCCCTCACCACACAATTCCTGATATGGCAGCACTCGCCCATCTCATCCCCCCATTTCTCCATTCCCGGCCACGCCACGACGAGTACCTTCGCGCCTTCCAACTCCGACTCGTCCTCACCGCTGAGCTCCTCCATGTCCTCGTTGTTCCAAATCATCTCTCCCTCCACGCCCCGCTCATCCTCACCGCCCTGGTCTTGTGCGCCAGCGGTGGAAGATGAAAATGATAAAGGGGGGAAGATACGGAACTGCGCTCGCTGAGTCTGCATGTGTAGTGATAGGCGGATCGTTTGTTCTACTATCCCCGGAAGGGTCTTTGAAGTTTGGGGTGGGGGGGTGGGGAAGAAGGGGGTTATGGCAGAGAATATGGTGGAGGTTACGGATATTATTTTGTTAGTGAGGGTTGCTGTGGGTGGTGTTAGGAGGGAGGTGCGGAGGAGGATTGAAGTGCTAGAGCGCCAGGTGTTTATTGCTGGCTGGGGGGCTGGCCATGGTTAGTATCGGTGAATGAGAGGAGGGGGAAGAGAGGGGTGGGGTACAGCTTCTGGTGAATTCCTTTTCTAGGGCGGAAAGTACAGAGTTTTGTTCCTTAGTTATGCCAAAACACCAATCCGAGAATATCTCCCGGATTAGTAACCTGGCCAGAAATGCCTGCACAACATGCACTCTATGTCCGCCGAGTATTAACTTTTCGTACTCTGGAATACCGGTTTGTAGTTCTTTTCTGACGTCATCCTTCAAACTTTCGACATCTGCCCTTGTCAGCCTTCACCCTCACCCTCACCCTTCTTCTCCAATAAATATGATCAAAGGGATGACAAACTAATTACCCCCCCCTTCGCCGCCCCATTCGCCAAACACCAATTCATAACCTCCCACCCTATCCGGCTCCACATCTCCCGGAACACCTCATCGCCGACGGCCTCCTCAATCCTTGTGTTGGTGGAAATACTATGCTTTAGTCCCCCAACCACCTTCTCCAGCCTCTGTATCTCCTTATCCCTCTCAGCAACAATACCATTAGCCTCCGTCCTGCAGCGGCTGATCTCTGCCAGCAGCCGCGAGTGCGAAGCACGTAGTGCTTCAATCTCCTCCGGGTGCGACTTTAGCGCATGTGCCTGCTCCGCTAAAAGGGCATCTCGGCGAGCAATGTCCTTCTTGAAACCGGCGACGTCGAGCTTGTACCTATAATGGTGGCATTCATAGGTGTGGTTAGATTTGGGAGTGGATGAAGAGGTGATGGTATAATAATCTTGAGCAGGGCAAGGCGGGAAAAAGAGGCAGCAGAGTTGGGGGGGGGGGGAGGAACAGTTCTATGTCTTCCATCATTTCTCGACGTTGCTCTCTCAGAGACGTAACGAGGGATTCCAGGTCCTTACGAGTCTTGCTGTTGCGCGAGGAGGGCTTTTTGTCCCTTGCCTACGGTTAATGGTCCTGAAACGGCTC